TGTTGACACCTGCATTCTGGAACCATTCGTGGGATTCCTAACATTGCTTTTAACTTCCTCGTTACATCTTCGGAAATTTTCTTAGTATTGTGTGGGTACAACCGTCACCATGGGTTTCCTCGGTATCGTCGAGGATAAGCATCTTGCGCATGTGCCTGCAACCGTCATCCTCAGCGAGGAACATAATCCTCTCAATGTCTCAGAAGTGGCTTCGGCGAGCCTGAAGCGTGGCACTGGCAAAGATGCAGACGTTATTCTGATACCACAACCGTAAGTACTACTAAAGAGCTGCGTGTTCAGTCCATAGTACCTACAACATGACTGATGCGATGCAGTTCCGAAGACCCCAATGATCCATTGAATTGGTCATACACCAAGAAGATGGTCATTATGATCATCGTATCCTACGGCTCTATACTCTACGCTGCCGTGCTATCTCCCCTTCTTTCACCTGCACTGGTACTCATCGCAGCAGACTATGGAAAGAGTGTCGGAGACATCACAGTCATCTCCGGATATATGCTACTGGTGACTGGAGGGGTCGGACCTATCGTCAGTGCATTGTCTAGGAAGTATGGAAAACGTCCCCAGCTTATAATTGCGTCGCTCTTCGGTCTGCTAGGGACTGTAGTCTGCAGTGCTGCAAACAGCTACGAGGGTCTCTTAGCTGGGCGTATCATTCAAGGAGGTTCTGTGTGCGTATGATCTCACTCTAAGGATGACATGTGCTAACTTCTTGCAGCTCTGCTTTCGAGTCCCTCGTAGTCGCTATGATTGGTGATCTCTTCTTCGTCCACCAGCGTGGCGGATTCATGACCCTCATCCAATTCATCTTGGGCGCCGCGTCGAACTTCTCTGCTATCATTGTCGGACCTATTGCAACGAATCTCGGATGGCGTTATCTGTTCCACATCCTCATCCCTTTCGTGGCTCTCGAAGTCATTCTTCTCTTCTTTTTCGTTCCGGAAACCAACTACATTCGTGATCATCGGTACGATATCGATGAGCTATCCAACGACAACCTCGCAGACCTTGCAGCGACCGAGAAGCGACATGCCGGTAACAGCGAGAAAGCTGGAAGCGACGACATGATGAAGATCGAGACGGCGACCAGCTCACCACCTGCCCTGCGCCCAAAAAAGACCTACGTACAAGAGCTCGCCATCTTTACAGGGACATACTCAGATGATAACTTGCTGCAGCTTGTTATTGCGCCTTTTGCAGTTTGCGCAAACATGGCTGTACTCTGGATGGTTATAGTGACAGGAGGGCTCACTGCTTTCTTTGTTGCACAATCATACGTCATGGCTCAGATCTTCATGGCTCCTCCATATTTGCTCAGCGCAGCTGGTGTTGGCTACCTCTCTTTGGGACCTTTTCTGGGTGGCCTTCTCGGATCGATCCTCCTTGGCGCGACACTCGACCCTCTTATCAAATGGTGCGCGAAGAAGAACAATGGAATCTACGAGCCGGAGTATCGTCTACTTGCTATGATTCCGTCCGTGACGATTGTCATAGGTCTATGCTTGTTCGGTCATCTCGCCGAGGAGGGAAAATCATATTATCTTACAGCCTTCTTCCATGGCATGGACCTCTTCGGAATCGTCATAGCTGCAATCTCTGCCTCATCTTATGTCCTGGATTCCTTCCGCGATATCAGCTCTGAGGTCTTCATCATCAACATGGTTCTCAAGAACTTCCTGTTCTACGGCTTCTCATATTTTGTGAATGACTGGGCGGCTAACGAAGGACCTGCTGTTGTGTTCTATACCTTTGCCGGTATCGCTGGCGCAATGATCATCACGACTCCCGTGTTCTTTTTCTGGGGCAAGGTATACAGAAGCTATTGGCACAGGCATAATCTGTTGCAGAAGTGGGGTATTGCGACGCATGCGGAGATATAGACGGGTTGAATCGTATAGCTGGAGAGAGATTTGAGGCCATGCTATCGTAGTATTAGCTTTCCAATATGGTTTATCTATTACTCAAATATCCCTAAGCCCTGCAATTTTCGGTTGCATACTGCCCGAGGCTTTGAAATCCTCGAACGTGAATAGAAGGATGAGATTTCCCATGAGTTTAGCTTGTTCCGCCAAGTTCATAACTCCTATGCTGAACTCACCCATTGATTTGAATACAATCAGCAAAATCCATCCCAATTTCTTCAATAAAAGATAAGACCATTTCAACATCCTATGAGAGAGATGCGTACATCGTGAACGTCAATTTCTCACGTGCCGGAGCCAATTGTGCTCATCTTAGGTCATTGTCCTCTAGTTCCCACATCCGACCTACCTGGCCAATGCTCATCATTGTGGTTGGATGTGGTATGGAGTCATTCGTGGAGTAAGAGCAGAACATATCCAGGACTAGACCAATGTGCTTGCAATGTTGGCCTTGACACAGCACAGCAGCGTCGACTGGAATTTACAATCGCCGTATGAGACTACGAGCTGCTGCTGAACAGCGGAATATGGACCCGAGCAACTGGAAATATATGAGTATGCATACACAGCGCCGTTGCACTGCGTTCGCTCGCTCCGACGGAGCCTTGTCATTGGACGGATGTTTCGAAACGTGTCCTGCAGGTAAGATAGGATAAATTGCCGCGCTTGATCGAAGCCGACGTGCGCGTGAGTTACGAGTTCTAATTCAGATTGGAATGCCATGATCGATCTTCAGCCGGTAAGAACTACCAGTGTGAGTGAAGGTGGTATATTTGGAACTTATAGCACGCTTGCGTACCGTTTTCATGTGAGATACCGAACGCGATTTCATCCGATATCGCCGGTTATGGATCACTGAGTAGCATTTCACATAGTAGGCGACTGAGATCATGCTGGCTGGGCGCTTCGAGAGGCGATCGCAGTGCCGCAATGAGGGTATGCGCGCTCGGTACGCTGAACCCACGTTCTCTGCTGCAAAGTAATATATTCCCAGCAAGATCTACATCGCCACCCTTCTCGAAGACGCTTGAAGTGCCACCAGGCCCATAAAGTCGCCCAAGACATTATCCAAGCGCTCGATGTGCACACTACCCGAGACCTCGGGCTGACTACATCGTGGCAACTTAGCATGTTCGATTAGAGTTGCAGCCACCAACCCCACTGCACGTACTTGAGCGCGTAGACAGTCTGGAAATTGAGTGTACCTGAAGATCCGGCACTTTGGGTTATCGATACTCACACTAATCTGATCGCATTGGGCAAATTGAGGGTCGTAGGGCTGGCGGTTACGCATCGCGTATGTACGTTGACGTGCGGGGCGGCCTCCAGGGCGGTCTTTGGGCGCCTAACGGTTGCGAGGTGCTGGAACCTGTGTTTGTGTGTTTGTATACAGAGACACACGACTGGTCTGGACTTGGATCGCAATAAGGGTCATGCAGGATAAGAAGTTTGCGTTTGAGGGTATGACTGTATCACGATAATCATCACTTTTCTCAGGATAAGTGCGCCGGACCTGCCGGACTGTGACCGCTCTGTGCGTGTTTGGCGAATCCAAGATCAAAACCGAGCTGTGGTAGACATCGTGGTAGAGAGGATCCACTCTTGCCTAGAGATGGGACGGGAAGAAGGGTGGACCGACCCAGGCCGTGCGATTAGACCCTTGACCGACTCTTTTCCATCAACTTTTCAAGCGATTTACCGAGCTTCAACGCTCGTACATGATGTAGTGCAATTCATGGTGTGAAGTGTCGGATGAATTGTTCCAACCAACGAGGGACGAGCGTGGGATCCTCAGCGGGCCATCAAAAGCTTGACTACAGGCTAAGCTTCTTATGGATGGTCAGCGCTTAAAACCTCGATCGACGGCCAGTGAAAGCTTCGCAACACCAATGCACCCCGCTCCACAATCTTGCTTTTTCCCATGCATGGCTGTCAGTCTACCCAGGAAGGGTCTCAGGGCATTAGGGCTTCAATCCTCCAATTCGCTCAATCCATGGTCATGCGAACGAAAGGCCAGCCCACTTTGGTCCACCAGATGGATCCGAGCTACCGAGGAGCAGGAACCCTGAAGTCTGTGATACGGCTGCGAGATATGTCTCGGTGATTCTGCTAACACGCTATAGCGCTAGACTGATGAGCAGAATATGCTCTGAGACTAAGATGACGAACTATCTGACATCAGATGTTAGGCCGGTATGAAGGGGGGGCTGCGACGTTCATGCGGTGCAACAACCTCAGAGCTATCTCAAGATGAAGAGCATGTAAGAAACGGCCATAGATCGAATGGCGATGTCCGCTGCAGCCGAGAGCGCCTCCCGCTCAAAAGGGATGACCAAGGCCGGTCCGCTTCCTTGACGGACCGCCACTCGCCAGTCACAGCGCTGATCCTGCATGATGCGCAGTGCGGCGATAGCAACTAGCTCTCGGACAATCTAATATGTGTATTGCTGCAGCCCACGAATGTGACGGCGCTTTGGGCTCGTCATTTCTCTTTTGGGACCCCTGGTTCGACTCGTTATCACATCTTGGCCCAATAGCGTGGGTTCTGGTGAGCGGTTGAATATCATTTTCCATTTGCTGCCACGATACGACGGGTCTTACCCTTGCGAGTCACCCGCACTCCACTTGCGCATGGAACTTAAGGAACCGGACTGCTGCTCGCGCACGGTATCTGAACATAAGCATTCGGCGGTTGCACACTTTTTTGTTTGTTCTTGCGCCGTCTACCACTATTCATACTGAACATTCTTATCATATTGTGTGTTGGATTAAGCGGTGGATAAGTTCTCGCTACCTAGGGATCTCTGCGCCACGGTACAACCACACCTCCGGATCGAGTTTCCGCTGCACCTTCGCGCGCATTGTCACAGTCAATCCTACGTCTTGGTACCCATGTAGGAACGGAGCCCCGGATGTTCATTAAGCCTTTGGTACCCCGAACCAAGACCCGTTGGCCTAGGACGCATCTCTGCCGTATTCCGGCTTCTGCTGGCAGAAGTGTTTCACGATTATCACGCCAATTGTTGCAAAAGCAAACCCAACGACTACTCGAAAATGCCGGTTATTCGGGAAGCTCTCGTGGAGCGGACGGGTGTGGCCATGGAGCAGCTGGGCGTGGTAGTGTCACACGCCGAGCGAGACATTGTCGAATCGGTCTCAGCATTACTACGACGTGTAAACATACCTTTCAACAGCACAAGCCCAGCTGGATTGATAGAAGCCAACACCGTCGATCCATGGAACAAAAGCGGCAAATATGCGCTCGCATATGTCTACTTTTGTATACCTCTGCTGGTCATCGCAGCCCTGATGCGATACTATCATTTATTCACGGATAAGATCCGGACAGCACTACACCAAGAAGAGGTATTACAGTCCTCGACGACATCCTCTCCCGACACAGATTACGAGATGTCGGTACTTGATACTGACAAGTCCACCATGAAGTTCTTCCCACGCGAAGGCCCGCTACCCAGTGCGCCAAAACAACAATCCAGCGTTTCTTCTTTCGGGCCGATCAACAACATTATAGCGTTTTTCCGGTTCATCTTCTACCGGCCGATTCCACAGATCAGAGTCAAGAAGGGATGGAGGCCAATCGTGTTCCCTTCCTTGGCTGTTATCGTGATTGTACTCCTAGCCTTGCTCCTGGGAGTCCTCTACTGCACCCTTCCACAGCCGCTATTCTGGGACAGTATCGCTTATGGCTCACCTCCATTGGCAGTTCGCTCCGGCATGATGGCTGTGGCACTGATGCCATGGATCGTGGCACTTGCGACTAAAGCGAACCTCATCTCAATGGTGACGGGCATCAGCCACGAGCGATTGAATGTGTTCCACAGATGGGCAGCATATATTTGCCTCGTGTTGAGCATCTTGCACACTGTACCCTTCTACGTCACCCCAGTCTGGGAGAAGGGTGCACATCAGGCATTCCAGCAGCTGCTCAATCAACAGAGCGGAATGTACATCTATGGCACTGGTATGACCTTCCCATCTAAGACGCAGATCACATACTGACAAGTTTCAGGTATCGCAGCACTCGTTCCCTTGTGCTTCCTCTGCACGCATTCGATTGCGCCCCTACGCCACCGAATGTACGAACTGTTCGTGGCCCTGCACGTGCCCGTTGCCATTGTCTTCCTCGGAATGATGTTCTGGCATTGCAACAACTACCTAACATCATGGCACTACCTGCTTTCCACTTTGGGCATCTGGCTACTGTCCTACTTCATGCGGCTGTTCTATCTGAATTGGACTCGTCCAGGTCAACTGTCATGGCTTATTGGCGACGAGGCTGCCGTGACGCTCATGCCAGAGAACGCTATCAAGATTACTATTCCAACCCGAATGAGGTGGAGACCTGGACAGTATGTTTATCTTCGCATGCCTGGTATCTCAGTGTTTGAAAATCACCCCTTCACCATCGCTTCACTATGCAGTGAAGACTTTCCATCTGAATATGGCGAGGGCTACCGGGATATGGTTCTCGTCTTCCGCCCGTTCGGTGGTTTCACAAAGAAGGTTCTTCAGAACGCTCTCGACCATGGCCCATGGCACACATACCGTGCCTTTGTTGATGGTCCATATGGAGGTATGCAACGGCGCATTGAAGCCTTCGATGACGTCGTACTCATTGCAGGAGGTAGTGGCATCACTGCCATTGTCTCGCAGCTGCTCTCCCTTATCAAGAAGATGCGCGATGGCAAAGCTGTCACGCGCAAAATCCACGTGATTTGGGCCCTCAAGCGTCCTGAAACCATGGAGTGGTTCAAGGAAGAATTGCGCATCTGCCGTGAATATGCGCCACCCGAGACCGTACAGTGTCAATTCTACATCACCGCTGCGAAACGTAACCCAGGCGGTGGACTTGTCAGCGCGAAAACACCTACTCGTCCAGTGTCGCTGTACTTCCACGACAAGGTCAACGATGCTTTCCAGAACATTGCCGACCACCGCCTTTCGGGTCTTTCGGGTGTCTCCTCAAAGCGACACTCCGCTCTCATCCGCGATGAAGCGCAGGGAGATCCTGAGAAGGAGTCTGAGCTGCGTCGCGAGAACGAAGATAGTATTACGGCACTTCCTCAGGCGCACATGGTCCCCGTCAATAGGGGCCACCTCGCACCACCACGCTCAAGCTACAACAGCGGGCGAAACTCTGCCGAATCAGCAGACAGCTCGAACCCGGATATGATAGCGCCTGCGCCACGTGGCCTTGCTGCTCGACGTCAAGAGCGCAACCTCTCTCTGGACATCAATCAAGCCGTCTCCGCAGGCTCCGGCGCCATAAATCCAGATATAATCCACAATCCCACCGAAGGCGCCCAAGGCTTCGATTTTGGCTTCCCATCAACACCCACTGAGTTCCAAAAGAATCTGATGCGTTTTGCATTCCTGCCTGCAGCTGTCAAGAAAAAGGACGGCTGGAGCACTGAATATGGACGCCCGGATATACCGTATTTACTCAAAGGACTGAGCAAAAACTTTGGGCGCAGAACGTGTGTGTTTGTTTGTGGGCCACCCACCATGCGCATTAGCGTGAGTGAGACGATTGCGCAAATGCAGAGGAGTGTATGGAGTGATAGTGGGCGGGACGAGATTTTCCTCCACGCCGAGAACTACGCCTTATAAGGCGTGGGTGGTACATTTCTTTCTCTTGTTTTTTGTGCATAGCGTTGGATGGCTTGGTGTATATACCCCTTTGTCTTATTCTCTTATACTCATGTATCTATATGACGATCGACGATGTCAATATCGGTCGCTTCTCCGCCGCTTGGCTAAAGGCCTGGATCAACCAGTCTCCATCTCAATGAAGAAGTAAACTTCAACACCAATGTTGGAAGTGTGTTTCCGATGAACCTTGAATCTGACACAAACTTTCACGAGATATTATGCAGGCATTCTTCGACGTGCTTACTCCTTGTGAAACTTGTTGCGCATTTCTGCCTCGGCATGATGGAACCCAGCGACGCCATAGAGATGTACCGCGTGCCAGACTACCAACAGCGTAGAGATTGAGGCTTGATACTTGGTGTACTCGTTCAGCGGCACATGCTTGTCACGCTCTCATTCTATTGTCACCTTCTGCATATGGTTCGCCGACGGTCGACCAGGAGTACCCTACCCCTCCGCACGCGAGCTGGTGGGGTCGTTGTTCATCCATGAACCTCGCGGCACAATCAACGTATCCTTGTCGCGGATTGTGGAGAGGGTGTGCGTGCGGAGACACTATCCCGCGCTCTAATGAGAGCCAGAAGTTGAGTGCGGCACAGCGCTATGGTCGTACGGACGCAAAAGCAAACAGTCGTGGTTCAGCATCATGTCGCAGCGGGCGGGTGGGAAGATGATGGGCTTGCTGACCGCTTGCTCGCTCATGGCGATACGCGCTGCGTCGCGGATAGAGACATGTGCAGCGACTGCAACACCAAACGGCGGCTGCGTACTGGCGCATGGGGACGGCAGTACATAGGGCTGCAGCCGGCTAAGGGGAGATGAGGGTGTGGGATAATGGGCGTTCGCATGCCCTTGCTTTTTGGTGATATGCTTTTGGGCAGCCGGAATTGCCGCTTGGCGCATCTCGCCCGCCCGACCCATCTCAAACGACATCAACTTGCATATTCCCCTTCCTCCTCCACGCAGGCCTGCTGTAACGTTTCCCAACGTTCGTAGCCAACTAGTAACAATTGCTACGCCCAAATCCTAACCAGCCGTCGCACACGCGGAAGCCAGGGCGCAGACTTCCCGATCGACCATGTTCTTAAGATAATTATGTGCACATGTCCGCCATCCCAGTGTCTGAACTGGGCCTCAACTCGAGCGAGAGCAGATATCTCCAGCAACAAATTGCCGCCTCACAGCACGGCTCCAATTCATCGCGTGCTGCCTCTCACGCCTCCAGCCAAGGCCGTCTCCTCCTGGATCCTTCTAGTTTGCAGGCGCTCAGCGCCCACTTTGACCGTCTAATGTACTCTATCCAGCAGCGCTGGCAGTATGTGAGTGTCTTCTGTTATGTCTTTAGGTAGGCTCGATTCTGTGTGGTGTAGGACTGACAATGGCCAGCTCACCCAGCAGACACAAACAGCAACCCAAGTGCAGTACGACCGCGCAGGCAATGCCATGCAAATGGCTGATGCTGAAATCGCCCGCTTCCGCGCAATCCTCCACGAAATCGATGAACTGCAAGTAGAATTCGATACAGTCCGTCGCATTGGAGAGATTGTCAAAGGATTCAAGTCACGCGTCGACCGTCTGGATCGCCGGATATGAACGCATTCCAGTAGATTGGACCGGCGTGTCTCCAGTGTCACAACCTCTTTTGCACGAACCAATCTACCTACACTCCTTTACCATCACGAAAAGACATACTTTGTCCCCACAGACACACACTATACCTACTAAGACTGGAGAGCCTCGCGGCATGGAAAACCTCGGGGACACCTGCGAGAACGGAAAGCCTCACGGCTAATGGCGTTTTGGTTACGTTTTATTGGAACTCTTGCTTTTGGGAATACCCAGATCTGCTTTTGTCCGTGTTTCAGTTTGCTTGAGTTGCGGTACCTTTCTTGCGTCATTCGTGTAACTTTGAATTACTTCTTCTAAATTATTACGTCTTGCTGCGAACGGGCTGCTGTACGTCATTGTGGATCGACGCTGCACGACCCGATCCCCTGTTCAGCCGCAAGCTGTATGTTCCTCCCGTTTAAGGCATTGCAACACACTGCCTTTGCATATCTTTGCTTTCGTGCTCAGTGATGTTCGCAGTGTATTCCTTTTGAAAGAATCCTAACTATTGCTGTAGGGTGTGTCTCCAACTACCACCAAGTCTTCCTCGCAACGGCAATGAAACCTTACACTTTCATCTTAGCATACTTTGGCTGCTGCAGCCCGCATCATAGTTACACTGGAACGCTTTCGGTATCCGAAACCCCTCACGGCACGCAATACGAGATGCTGTGTATGAAGTTTACCTGCTCATGCTTCCTTTCTCATCAACCAGGCTTCTGCACCCTGCCTTGCAGCACTACGTTCGCGCTCCTTGTCCGATTGACTATATGGATATCCCTCTCGATCGAATACCTATAGGCAGACCTTGCATGCTAGCCGTTGTCGTACACATCTTGGTCATGGCTATGTACACTCGTGAACTGCAAATGGTCCCTGACATGTGTGACTTCCAAGTTGGGTGAGAGATAGTCACAGGAATCAGTGAACCTTCTCAATTCAACTGTGAGCCGAGGCACAACACCGTCGCAGGTAACAACATCGACCTGTTCATTTGTACGCAGCATCAACACGTTCATCAACCGCCCCCGACTGATTAGCCGCGAGACAAGCTTGCAGATAAATAACGTTACGAGATTGCGGTCAGGTTTCTTTGTACGCTGAGAAAGCACCATCGCTCCGATAAGAATTCGTCCGTCGTCATACATGCACGAATGCATCTCAGGCCCCTGCGAAAACACTACAATCCTCGATGTTTCGGCAGAAGACGCTAATTCCTCTCCCACCGCTCTTATTGGCCTGGTCGCATTTTCACGTGCAGAGTGGGTATCTCGCGTCTAGCAGAAAGCTAGCTTAACATGCCTTCGGAACCGGTGGGTACCTGCTTTGTACTATGCGCCCATGTGTTACTTGTCATCAACCTTCGAGTTTTCGCCCAGGGTTGAACACAATGTACATTCCATTTCGGCTTCGAGATCTCAGGAGAGACGGAAGTATCGTTGGCCTGTAGTCTATTGGTGGAACAGGACCTTAGTGTTTGTTTGCTACTTCAACGTTCTCTTGGCCCCGTGGGGATCTGCGGGTCGAGGGGACCTAACGGCTAGTAAGGCACCCTGTACTCGGGCCCTTTATACCTCATCTGGATCCAAAAGGGGACGCCTAATGGCGCAGCAATCAAGATTCCGTCTTCCATGCGCCTGTAGAAAAAGACTTGGCTAGGCTCTCATCGCATCCTACAGCCTTTACTGCTCTTCCTCGTTTCTTGTTAAACGCCATGTTTTCGCCATCGCTATGCACAAAATCAATCTACGGCCAAGGAGGAATCCGCTGCGGTCGCTGGGGCGCACTGCACAATCCCACTGGAAGTTGATTCTGGCTATCGTGTCATTGATGCTTATCGAAGCATACGTACATGTACGAAACTACGATGTTCCTCGCCCGTCGACACCCCTCGACGCACCCTTCTACACGGGCTGTCAGAGCCCCGTCCTAAACACGACCGCACGCGAGTCCGCTGTACTCGTAATGCTGGCGCGCAACTCGGAAGTCAAGGGCACAGTTTCCAGCATTCGAAGCGTCCAAGAACAATTCAACGATAACTTTGGGTATCCATGGGTTTTTCTGAACGACGAAGAGTGGACGGGGGATTTCAAGATTAAGGTGGGCAAAGCAGTAGGAAAAGATACGGAAGTAAAGTTCGAGGTCATTCCAAAAGAGATGTGGGGATATCCCGAGTGGATCGACCAAGTGCGCGCGAGAAGCAGCATGCAATCCATGAAAAACCGAGGTATACAGTATGGAGGACAAGAAAGCTATCACCACATGTGCCGCTTTCAGTCTGGGTATGTCAAACAAGCCAAACCCCATCTCAAGAACGGTGCACTGATAAAAACTTCACAGCTTCTTCTTCGACCACCCGGCCCTTCTTCCCTACAAATACTACTGGCGCGTCGAACCCTTCGTATCCTTCACGTGCGCCATAACCTGTAAGTAACCTTTGTGCACGAAATCTAGGTGATACATTTGCTCACTATGTGCATCGTACGCTAGATGACCCCTTTGTTGAGATGACGCGCCACAAAAAACGCTACGGCTACACAACTGCACTCTGGGAACGCGGGCAAACCGTCCCCTCCCTCTTCTACAAGCTCTCCCTCTTCAAGAATAAATACCGCCTCCCCACCACCAGCCTCTGGACCGCCATGGTCGACGCAAGCTACATGCCCTGGCCCCTCCGCCGTGCACTAGCGCTCTTGCGGAATCGGGATGAGAGGGGGGATTTGTGGAACATGTGTCACTTCTGGTCGAACTTTGAGATTGCAGATATGGATTTCTTCCGTGGAGATGCGTATCGTGCCATCTTTGAGTATCTGGACCGTGATGGCGGATTTTATTATGAGAGGTGGGGTGATGCACCCGTGCATTCATTGGCTGCTGCCATGTTGTTGAAGCCGGAGGAATTGCATCATTTTAGTGATTGGGGGTATGTGCATGATGGGCTGCAGGTTTGTACATATGCGACTACAGAGCAGGAGAGAGCGAGAGGGGTGAGCGTACCAAAGATCTCGGGGACTCGTGGAGAATGGAGGGAGCAGACGGGCTGCAGATGTAAGTGCGATGATGCGATCAGGGTTGTGGAACCGGTGTGTCTGAATAGGATCGGGTTGACTACTAGCTAGTCTGGAGATACGGCAAGCAGCAAACGTTGAACATGCATGCAAGCTCCTGCACATTGTGACCTACTACAGCTCTCTTGGTGCTGAAGTCCACTCAGGATCTACGTTCCCACCCGCCTTCCCCCCCTGCTTGGTGATGTCGTTCATATTGATAACATTTTCGTGATCTAACCAGGTTGCTAACATGCAGGTAGCCCGCAGGGCGTTCACCACCTAGTGGCTAAAGGGAACTGCACCAAATACTCATTCACTGACGATCTCTGCGCCTGGAAGTAGACGTATCGTGTAAAGCGGAATTAGGTTTCTCTTTCTATTTTTACACTGATTCACCACGAGAAAAAGCGATGCGTGATCAACATATCGGGTCATGATGTTGTGACGCTCAGTAATTCCGTCCTCTTCCTTCCTTGAACGCCCCAGGATCGCGCACCAGCATATCACGTACACCCTCCATGGTGAAGCCTTTATGTTTTTCAATACACTCTTCCATACACCGAAGTATCTTCTTCGGCCATTCCACATACTGAGCCCACTCCCCACTCTCATCGTCATCTGTGGCGGCTATGATCCGGGCAAGCCATTGAGCAGTCGCCCTTATAGGGGTTGTCAATGCCTTTCTCGGCGCCGATAGTGGCGAGAGGACGAAACGTATGGCGCAAAAGGGCGCCATGACGACGTTGCCGAGTTGATTTGTGGGATCAAAGACATGCATGAGCCCGTCGTGCGGCCAGGTAGAGAAGATGGTAAGGATAGCCATAACAGCAATAAACGACTGGAGCGGGTATGGAGCACCTGGTGGGGCGGTTGTGAGATTTTCCCAGTCGATCTTGTCGAACACCACGCCGAGGTCTCCTGGTAGAATCGGGTTGGCGAACGCGTAGAGATCGGAAGGTGAGTTGGGGCCCGAAGCCATTTGTGGTAGAGTGCTTGCTTTTGTAAAACCTGATACTAAAGGTGTACCTGGTATTGAAGTTGTGTTATTCTCCTCATCATATTCAGTGGTTGAATCAAATGCGTCCCTTAATTCTGGGTTCTCCACTTCTGAGACCAGAAGACATTGAAGCGTTTCGATGAGCTGTCCGACAATGGCCTTCTCGATGGGATGCGCAATGGGTCCAGTCATCAGACTAGAAAGTCCCTTTATTGATAGTAGAGCTTCGCGTAGAAGTTCCTGGTCCACCACGGGGAAATTGCAAAACGTTGTGTCCATACGTATCATGCCCAAGGCTTTTTGATCAGAGAAAGGACCACGGAAGCCTTCGCCTAAGATTAGCTGGGAAAGGAACGAGCATCCTCGTAAAGACAGGAAATGCTCCAGAAAGCCGTCCTCCATGTAGCTGGATTGGAAGCACAGCAAGTAAGATGTAGCAAGCATGATATGTGATTCTTCAGCAGTTGGAGGCCATCGAGAGAAGGAATCCTCAAGTCCAACGATTGCCCTTTGTCGGTGTTGCAGTGCAAGACTAGTTTTTGGGTTCTCAACTTGAATAGCAAGATGAGATCCAGCTAAAGCGAGCATAGCATCCATAAGATATGGATACTGAGTAGTCAGTGACGATAGACTTGTTGTACTAGGGGAGGAAGGCGCCACATACTTGATTGGCTTTTACAGGAATATCTCTGACCCAAATTTCATTCCAGTCGTGCGGAATGCAAGGGTGTGCCGAGATAAGATAGTGATGGAACAACTGCATATCATCTGAACTGTAGATGGTAGGTGTTTCCGAAAGTTTAACAACCTGACGCGGACTCGGCGTTTCTGGCGGTATATAATCTCGTCGCGCGTGCTTGAACACATCCGGATACCTACAAACCACTTGGACGGTTGGTGAGATGTGGGGTTTAGTTCATGATTTTGTACTTACGTCCGCGCTTGTCGCAATTTGTACATGATGGCCATGTCTCTGGGCACTTGACGGAGTTTAGTGGCACGGCATGATATGACGATACTGGTTCAGTACCTTGATCTTGCGCCGCTTGCATGGAATGCAGCCCAGGCGACTTTTAGTGTGTCCGCGTCGTTGTCGTAACCCTCCCGGTGCCACCGTGTCGCCGCTAGATACAGTAGTGCTGCTGGATATGAGTATGGTATAACACTTTGGATCGTGCGAGGAGACTACCATGGGTCACAACTGTCCAGACTATCCTTTTTGGGCCTTATGGCTTGTTTGTATGTTTCTGTATGCTGTTCTGTGTGCGGAACTACAGGTGCCTTGGGATGGCTGGTCGGAACACTGGACTCAAGAAAGTCGCCTATGCCATCTAGCACCATGTAGCCATCAAATAAATCGTCCATGGTTGAAAATAAGTCAGGTAATGAGATGGGTATAGTACTGCCAAATACAATTCACCATGTCACCGGTGGTGTCGTTACATGGATTACGATAACGCCAAGCTGTCAAGGTGTCATAGTTGGAGGCCTAGGTATCCAGCCTGAAAGTCGGCGTTAGTGGCGCAGTATCCGAGCTTACGTAGACGCGAACCGCTAGAGAGGCTGTTAATTCATGGTGCGTATACATCTTCTTCATTAGCACATGGGAGACAAATGCTCGGAAGTCAAAAAAAGCATCTGCCTTCTCGGATGGCGACTAGTCCTGTATTGGTCTTGAGAGTACCTAGGTAGTCGGTGTCGCGTGAGAAGGCCGCGACGCATCCAAGCAGCGCAATCTCGGTAATCATGAAGCAACGTCAGACTTCCCGCGCGCGAGATTTGGGAGCGACTGTCAAGATGAGTTTGGGTAGTTGTCTGGGAAAAGTGGTGCCGTTGGGTCGGCAAACCTGACTGGGCAGAAAGCGTTCGATGGGTTTCTCCGTTGTCCGCCCAGTCGGGATGTTAGCCGCAAGTGACGTCTCCCCTTCACAAGCACCGCCATTCTTCTTACCAACACCGTGGCGAGCTCGGCGCAGCACACTACTAGCATTCCCCCCAAAACACGCAGCCTCGACCGGCTTACCGAGTGATTGCGATTGTTCCCATGTGCTGCCTAATAGTGGAGTGAGGAGCACGCCCCACCAGCCACGCCCAAGCCCAACGGCTGGACACTTGAGCATCTCCCCCCGAACCACGACACGCATTGCTACCTCGAGCCTGCCAAATAAGCCGCCGCCATGCCGTCGATTCTCTCTGACGAGGACAAGCAGACGGTGAAGCGCACCGTGCCCAAGTCTGCCAACAAGATCCACACCGTCGCCGTCGCCAAGTTGTACATTGCCTACCCCGACCCGCGCCGATGGACCTACACGGGCTTGCAGGGCGCCGTCGTGCTGGCCAACGACCTGGTCGGCAACACGTTCTGGCTCAAGATGGTGGACATATCGGTAGGTGCGCGCGAAACCACAGCACAGAACACACGACTGACGGATGCAGCCCCAAAGTCGCGGTGTCATATGGGACCAGGAGATCTACGACACCTTCTCCTACAACCAGGACCGCGTCTTCTTCCACACCTTTGAGCTCGAGGACTGCCTCGCCGGCCTGTCTTTTGCCGACGAGAAGGAGGCCAAGACGTTCAAGAAGAAGCTCGACGACCGCGAAAAGAACGCCCACAAGAACACAAAGAACAAACCTTTCAGCGCATCCGCAGGGAGCAGCGCGCCTGCAGCCAACGGCAAGAGCGGTGGTGGCCACGGCCACGGCCTGCTGGGAGGGCTCTTCGGACACCGCCATTCTTCTGCACCTGGCCCGCCGCCAGCATCCATCATTCCACCTACCAACGTTACATCGCCCGTGCAAAGCACCCACTCCAACGCGACAAGCGCCCGAAACTCAGCCATCGACACCACCGACCCATCATGGCAGCCGCTTCTGAAAGAATTGCTGGCCATGGGCATTACCGAAGACCAGATCGAAGAAAATGCCGACTTTATCAAGCTGTACATTGAGCAGAGGAAGACAGAGGAGAAGCTCAAGGACGAGAACAACCAGCGCAAATCCAGAGCGCCTCCCCCTCCCCCACCGAGTGCGCCGCCTGCGGCCGCATCTCTCAGCCCTCAGAACACTGGTGGTTCCAACCGAGGACCTCCGCCAGCACCCCCGCCAGCGCGAAGAACAAGGACAGACGCAACCGTCAACCGCAATTCTTCGGGAAGCCCTGCGCCGCCATCGCCGACACGCGAAGCTTCGCCCCCTCCAGGACCACCTAAGCCGGTTTTCAGAGCACCTCCTCCAATTGCGGAAGCAGGAAAGTTTGCGAATCTTCCCCCTGCACCACCAAACAGAGCGCGAGCATCGTCCAACGCTGCCAATCCAGGGCCCCCGCCGCCACCACGCCCACCGAAGACGCCAGTGCCCGACGAAGCTCCAGCCGGAGGCAAGTTCGGCGTGCCACCGCCCTTCACAGGCAACCGCGTACCCTCAGGCGCTCCACCACCACCCCCAAGTCGTGGACCAGTTCCACCACCTCCTCCAGCAAGAGATACTCCGCCCGCGCCCCCGCCACTGCCCCCGAAGACATCGGCAGCCCCGACACCACCCCCTATTCACAGCATACCACCACCCCCGCCACTACCGCCGTCTTCGTCTCGTCCTACGCCACCTCCAGGCGCAGCACCAGTTCCCCCGCCTCTACCTCCAATAAGCAATGTAGCGCCCATTCCCCCACCTCCACCGCCTATGCCGAACAGGTCAATTCCCCCTCCGCCACCGATGCCCAACAGCTCGGCCCCACCTCCACCCTCAGGTGCGGCACCACCTCCACCGCCCATGCCACCCGCCCCGCCGCCAATGCCTTCACGAAGCGCTGTTGCGCCGCCTCCGCCTGGACCTCCACCACCCCCAGGTGGCGGCCCGCCTTTGCCCAAGCCCGCGGCGGGACGAGATGGTTTGTTAGCGGACATTCGTGGAGGAGCGAGATTGAAGAAGGTTTCAGATTCGGAGAAGAAGGACCGCAGTGCAGCGGCAGTTCCTGGTGCAGAACCGGCTGGCGGAGCCTCCGGTGGAGCCTCTGGCGCAGCTACACCTGGAGATGCTGGCTTGGCTGGAGCATTGGCCAGCGCTCTTGCGGCAAGAAAGTCTAAAGTTAGTCACAGTGGTAAGTTCTGATATATCTACATTGAAATGATTGTACTCTAACACTCGTACAGATGACGAGTCCGACAAGGACGACTGGTAAACGAACAGATTCTGAAGTCGCTCAAAGCAGCCTCAGCCCAACACGCCGAGTCGATCGAAACCCTTTTCAGACGCGGACATACCAGCTACGCCTTGCAGAAATCGGGGAAAGAGTTATCAGAAGATGTTGCAGTGTGATACACCGCGGCAAAAGCAGCGAAGACAAGTTCAAGAAGAGAGCCCCTTGGCTAGTTGAAGAAATAGCGATAGTCGATACCAAGAATGATAAAGTATATTCTTCGTCTTTCAAATCATCGTCCTCATGCCAAATTTTCACCTCCATGACCAATGAGTCTCCCTATCCTCGCAAGCCGACTCATGCAATTTTTAATCAACTGGATCTCATACCCACAAACAACAAGGATCGCAATCTCGAGGTGTTTGTCTGACTGCAATTTTCCATCTTTCCCATGTCTAGCGTAGAATGTATCAGGCTTACACATGTATTCTTGACAACAGTTTGATAGTTGAGCTGCCCGACACAACCTGCGTAACATGTCCATGGCATGATATACATATGAAGAGCGCTCGAGAAGGTCCCAATGTGATTCGGGATAGCCATTTTTAGACAAGCTACTAGAGATTGCAAGACAGTTTACGATGCGCGTGGCTAGTTTGCGAGACACGATCGGGAGGGATGTGACATGGCAAGAGTTTAGGATTGCGGAGCTGAAGAGGGCATGCTGATTTGGAAGTTGGAATGAAGAGAGTAGTAAGAAAGTAGATGATGTTTGAGGGAGGTGCGCGATCAATACGTGGGTGTGTAAGGCGTGTAGCACTTCTTTGCTGAATATGCCTGAGAGGCATGCCAGTTAGCACGGTTCCGTATTGGTAGTTCAGTATAGGGAGTTACCCACGGCATACAAGCCGCAATTCCAGCGCTGCTGTGTATTCGTCGAATGGTGGAGCATTTTGACTGATGCGGTGTAGGACTGTGTACTCGACAACCAAACTCCAGAGTTCGACAGATAGGGCAGTTATGCCCGAGAATTGTGATTTGAATATCGTGATTGGTGGATGGTTCTCTGGCGAAGTGATATTTGGTAGGGTTCGCAGTAGGGATTTGAGAGTGAGAACAGTGTTCATTGTCGACTCCTGGATTTCTGTTTGCCTTGCACTCGTCTTCTGAACATTTGATGTTTACCTGTGCTAAGAGTGTACAGGATGAGGTTAGCAGCCAAGCACGGACGCGTGTCAAATGCGAGGAAATCAGGCAGCAAGATTTGTACACTACCTAGGTTCATGTTACGCCCCAGCAAAGTCTATGGATTTGACATGCTTCTCCTTCCCAGTATCATTTCCGGATACATCGCCATTCAGCTAATGTTTCAATTCGAAATCGACATACTCGGGCGTGCCTGGAACTTTGTTTTATTCACACGTGGTATGTGCGCTTACATCATGGGCCCTATGGATAGGATCCGCACACACAAGAATATGCAAAGAAAGGCTGAGCTTGGTCAAGGCTTGAGAGACATCTTGGGAGAGCTGTCGAGAGAAAAACTGCGGAATATTCCAGAGTCACGTCTCAATGGCATCCATGCTTTACCCGTGGAGCTTTGGAGTCAGATCATCAATCATGTCCTGGACCTATGTTTCCAACCCAGAAGGCGGCAATGTCGTGATATTTTCAGGGTACTGAGGTTACGCTTCGTATGCCGTACGTTGTGAGCCTTCCCAGCCAAAAAGACAACAAACTGACGTTCGAGGTAGGTGCTTTCGACGAGGAGATACGACGGGCCTTGCATCAGCGCTTGGGCCTGAACCAATTTCCAAACTATCTTTTCCTAGCATACAACATAGAGACTTCGGATACTTCTCTTCGTAATGCATTCCTTGCATCGGCGCTATACCGCGAAACACAGCGTTGTTCTGAAAACGGCGCTATTCATCCCATAGCATATCGTATTAAGAACTGTGTTCTCGTGGCCCAACACCTATCGTTTGATCACAACGCCCAACAGGAGCAGCAATTGTACAAAACGTTCTGTAATTCGGCATCAGCATCGTACTATTGTAGGAGATACATCTTCGACTTCCGATGCGGGCTCAAAGAACCTGTTCTTGGCGTCGATAAGCCTGGTGGCTTCGCAAGGGAAGGCGACATTCTTCTCGAAGTCTCTTTACTGGTCGCCAACGGCTACCAGCTTACAAAGGTGAAGCGGTGGATGGTGAGGCTTGGTAAATTAGGACTCTTGGCTGGCTACAGGGAACATGATATACCTCGCGCACCGGTATGCGGATTGAGGATTGATGGTCCATGTACACTGGGTTCGCACGAATCTCTATCCCGTGAGGAAATTTACTTGGCAATCACTCAACCGTCGTCGTCAAGTATGTGGGAGCGAGAAACTGATCAAGAGCTGGAGGAAATAGAGAGACAAATCTTGTAGGATATCCTAGACCTCTGGCGCTGATGTTCAGTTTCGGAGGCTCTGCGGCTCTGGGGAAGCTAAGCAGCAGGCATCTGGGAGCGGGCCCCAGCAATTATAGCCGAAGCGTACCTGCGGGATGGTGCGGGGTAGCAAGTTGAGTGAAGTGCGGGCAGGCATTCGCGCTCGAGATGGCAGGCGCGACAGCAGTCATTGAGCTATAGTAATAGACGCAGAATACGCGCGCAATGATACAGTTACTCTGTGGAGTCTGCTTCGCCGTTGCTGCGAGGCATTCTGCGCGGCCGGCGGATATGTACTGCCTCGGTTGAAGGCGGGCTATCCATCCTCCCGAATTCTGCGAGCCGAGCGATGCTCATCGTTTGCCCAGAACTTCCTCAAAAACCAACAGTTCCCTCAAAAGCGCGAAGTACGACTGTCCCTTTTCTCTACAGCTGCATTGACGTCGTCCGGCACGACAGACGCTAATCAACATGTCGGCCTTCAGTCGCAACCTGTGCAGTACCGCTTCACGAAACCTTCGATCACGGTCCAGCGTCGTAACGAGAGCTATAAGGCCAATTGCTCTGCGAACTGCTCCCTCGAACCCAATCACGTCGCGAACAGCAGCTGCGTCGTCCTTCTCCACCATGGCGTCCCTCAAGAGCTCCGTGCCACAGACGCTGAGCAAGCGCGAGTACGACCCTGAGATCAAGGACATGGCCAGCTATATCCACAACACCCCAGTCGACTCAGAGCTTGCGGTAGGATTAATTTGCCTTTCAGCAAGTCTCGCCGCTAATTAAGCTTCATATAGTTCGATACCGCCCGCTGGGTCTTCGTTGACACGCTTGGCTGCGGTCTGGAGGGGCTGCGCTTCGAGCAGTGCAGGAAGATCCTCGGTCCTGTTGTGGAAGGCACAACCGTCCCCAATGGCTGCAAGGTACCTGGTACCAACTACCAGATGGACCCCGTCAACGGTGCCTTCAACATTGGCGCCATGATCCGATGGCTCGACTTCAACGACTGCTGGCTCGCTGCCGAGTGGGGCCACCCCTCAGACAACCTGGGGGCGATCCTCGCAACTGCCGACTGGATCACACGAACAAACAAGGCTGGAGGCAATCTCGGCAATGGCAAGATCTTCAAGGTCAGAGATGTCCTTGAGGCAATGATCAGGGCACACGAGATCCAGGGCTGCATGGCTCTGGAGAACTCGTTCAACAAAGTCGGTCTGGACCACGTCATTCTGGTCAAGCTGGCTTCCACAGCTGTCGTGTCCAAGATGATGGGCCTCAGTGAGGCTCAGACACGTGACGCCATCTCGCAAGCCTTCGTTGATGGCCAATCGATGCGTACCTACAGGCACTCGCCCAACACCATGTCGCGCAAGTCCTGGGCTGCTGGTGATGCTTGCCAGACGGCCGTCAACCTTGTGCTGAAGGTTATGAAGGGCGAACAGGGTCTTCCCACTGTTCTCTCAGCGCCCACCTGGGGCTTCTACGACGTCAACTTTGGCGGCAAGCCCTTCCAGTTCCAGAGAGGTTATGGCAGCTATGTCATGGAGAACGTTCTCTTCAAGGTCTCTTATCCGGGTAATAATGCCCCTTTAAGCCAATCTTAATCCGCCGTGTATGCTAATCGAGTCCAGCTGAGTTCCACTCCCAGACCGCCGTCGAAGCTGCGCAACGCCTCAACAAGAAGTTGGCAGCAATGGGCAAGAGCGCCAAAGACATCGAGGGTGTCGTGAACCGTACGCACGAGGCCTGCATTCGCATCATCGATAAGCAATTCAAGCCTATGGAGAACTTTGCTGACCGCGATCACTGCGTTCAAGTAAGTCTCACCCACCGTAGTTGCCTGCTCGTGCTGACATCATGGTAGTACATGGTCTCCACCATGTTCGTGTTCAACCGCCTTGAAGCCACTGACTACCCAGATGATAGTGAAGCCGCTACATCGGAACTCGTCGAGTCTCTCCGACAGCGCATTAGCTGTGTGGAGGACCCGCAATTCACCAAGGACTACCACGACCCTGAGAAGCGCACCATCTCCAACGCGCTGACCGTAACACTCAAGGATGGAACCGTGCTGGAAGAAGAGGTTGTCGAGGCTCCTCTTGGCCACCGGTTGCGACGTGAAGAAGCAAAGCCTGAAATCCTCGCCAAGTACAAGAGGCATCTCGGCCCGCACTACCCGTCGCAACACGTTGACAAGCTTGTCGCATTGGCGCAAGACAGCAAGACGCTCGATAACATGGACATCGACGAATACGTCGATCTGTACGTGAAGAACTAGAGATTAAGCCTAGGTAGATTGGGTGACTTCGCGATGGACGCCTCGGCACGTCTGACGTTATCGCGTCCTCGCTAATGCAACCGGATGCAGTCGAATGATATTGCGCTTCCACATTATTGCTTCTTTCTATATCCCTGTCTTTTTTCCCAAAGGTCACTTCTAGGCGTCACACCAAAACACCGCATTGACCTCGTAGTATATTCTTGCAATATCCCGACCAAGTCGCGTGATCGTAGCCTGCCGACATATCTGTACGACCGTAATATCAGATGCGTTATGACGACGTCGTCGCGGCCGAGAAGTGTCTCCAGATCGATATCGAGGCTGTGGGGATGTCTCGCTGACCCAATGTTGGGCAGAAACTACCGACATAGGCCTCCACTAAGAGTGCCGCAAGAAGATTCTTGCTGGAACACAGATACCCGCAGGTCGCGGGAAGAAAGACGCCGGATGAATCAGTACCTAACGGCAGTCTTTCCACGACAAAACGTGCTTAGTGCCATGGAAGCATTAGTTGCCGAGACGTAGATCCATCATGTGGAGGTAAGCTACCAAGGGCTAGGGTGCGGCTCAGGTTTCCTACTCTCCCCACGGGGAATCCTTTAATCCTTTACGAGCTGAGCACGGAGCGGATGTGCCGACTGCCACCTAGTTTGCCTTGAGACCTGTCTGGACAGGACCGCTGGCTTCGATGCTTACGGACATTGGTACCGTATACTCCAGAGATGAATTGTGGGATGGTGTCGTTGCAGGAATTGATGAGCCAGATGACACAACAGTGCGCCTCATGGCCGTGTCCTCAATAAGTACTTCTTGAGAGCTCCTAATCTAGCCTGTGCTCATTACCAATCTTTCTTCGTTGAACCCTCGTACATCGTTTATCAACCCTCTGCGGAAGTCACCCGTCCATCACCCCTGCCTTCCCGTCTTTCGCGCCTACACCTCTGGACCCTGGTGCAGTTATCGCCTTCCAACGACATGTCAACCACATCGAGAACCGCCCTTACTGGCGGCAACAGCGCTGACTCGCTCGACGATGCGGAAAAGGGCATGTACGATGGTACGTTGGAGTTGACGGCACCAGGCTTCGTGTACATGGAGCAAAAAAAGCCGATACACATTGTTACATCGTTACTGCCCGCTTCTCCCGTCCACCAAGGCATAACACCATGCACGAGTGTACCGGAACTGTCATTGTCTCTGCCATTAGGACGAAAACCTACCGATGCCGCTGAACTAGACACTACTGTGAAGAAGCCAGCTGGGGAGAAACCTCAAAAGCCAAAAATCAGCCGATGGATCCTGTTCGATCTTTGGTTCAACACATACAGAAAGTTCTTCACATTCGTCACCTTGCTCAACCTCACGGGAATCATCTTGTCCGCCTGCGGTCGCTTCAAGTACGCCGAGGAACACCTCGGTGCTTTGGTGCTAGGCAATCTCCTTTGTGCTATTCTGATGAGGAATGAACTATGGATGCGCTTCTTATACTTGGTCGCCATATATGGGCTGGGAGTACGTGCCTGCTTGCCCTTCAACCTGAAGTCTGCTGACCAGTCACAATAGTGGGCACCTGTATGCGTCAAGCTCGCTGCGACATCTGTTCTACAACATGTTGGAGGCATACATTCTGGATGCGCGTTGTCTGGTGCTGCGTGAGTCACTATTCTTGGACAGGATCGAAACAGCATTGACGTGAGAATTAGCTGGCTCGTCTACAAGTGTGTCGACATCATTCGATATCGTGCCGTACAACATCCTGCCGTGATTGCAAGCGGGATCATCACCAACTTTTTCATCATCGTCTCGGTGTTGAGTGCCTTTCCTTGGGTCCGCAAGTTAGTAGCTCCGATCTATGTCTAGCTTTGTAGCACCGTACTTACGCCCTTGTCAGCACCTATCACAACGTGTTCGAGAAGCACCACCGATTTGTTGGATGGCTAGGCCTCGCAGTATGTAACCTCTTTTGTGGCCTTTCATCGGAACTTTGACTGATATCTTCTAGATGACGTGGGTGTTTGTTATCATGGGCAATACCTACGACATCAAGCGCGGCGAGTGGAGGACCACCGCTCACAGTCTACTCAGTGCACAAGAGCTCTGGTTCGCTGTCTTCATGACAATCTTGTAAGGAGTCTTACATCTTGTTTGATTTCTTCTGCTGACCTATCGAAGTGTCCTCATCCCATGGGTTACCCTTAGGGAGGTACCAGTCGAAGTTGAGATCCCTTCACCTAAGGTTGCTGTCCTCAAATTCGAGCGCGGCATGCAGCAAGGCCTCTTAGGACGAATCAGCCGCACATCCATTATGGAGTACCACGCCTTTGGTATCATCAGCGAGGGACGCGATGCCACCCACCATTACATGATCTGCGGTGTTCAAGGAGACTTCACAAAGAACCTCGTCGCCAACCCGCCGAAGACTGTTTGGACGCGAGAGCTTAAGTTTGGTATGCATTATCCCTGACTCCTATCACAGCTACAGTTACAGCTACTAACATAGAGGCAGCTGGCGTAGGTCACGCCTCCGCAATGTTCAAGCGCGGCATTCGCATATGCACCGGTACTGGCATCGGTGCTGCACTCTCCACTTGCATCCAATCACCTAACTGGTTTCTCATCTGGATCGGTTCCGATCAAGAGCGCACTTTCGGTCCTACAGTCACAGGCCTCATTCACAAGCACATTGAGCCCGAGCGCATGATTCTCTGGGACAGCAAGAAGAGAGGTGGACGCCCTGATACAATGGAGCTACTAAGAGATACGTGGAAAAGGTTCGGCGCGGAAGTCATCTTCATCACGAGTAACAGCCAGGGCAACGATGAGATGATGCAGGGGTGTGCTAAGGAGGGTATGCACGCTTTCGGTACCCTTTGGGACTTTTAGAAAAAAGAATAACAAAATGATGGAGACGAGTCCGGTAGGCATCCGGATATGAGGTATGAGATTTTTTGGAGAAGCATATCAGCGTTACGCATTTACACATGGAGTTCAATATGGCATTTTTGCTTTATCATAAGAGTGCTTGGGTAGACGGAGGGGCGTTTTCTTCCCTTGTATTCATGCGCATAATATCAAAACATTAGGCATAATTACATCAACTTTAACATCAAACTTGCAAGTAATGACCTCTATGAGACACGGAAATTGTTCAAACACACAGAAAGCAAAGCGCAATCTCATAATTTGCTCTGGCACGTTTGACATGGTGATACCAGTCATCTACCAAAAGCAAAAGGCTGAGCAGTGACCCCAGCCCCTGATTCAACGCTTCAACGTCCGCGTGCTATCTACCACGTACCATCCACGCAGTACTCTTGGCCCCACATGAAAGATTCTTACAGCACCCGACTTCGTGCATACTCCGTCTCGCCGTTCCACCGATCGCCAAGTCAAGTTTTCCTCACGTGCAATAACAACCGGCTGATATAGGTACCTGATCCGCAAGAACCGCGCTAATGGGCCAATCTACAATTTATATAGATTGGGTGGCTGCAATTGGTGAAGATAGTGGGCTGCATCGAAGGCCCGTAGAATGCACATGCGGCACGTACTGCGCTTTCCATCGGCGATGGTGGAAGACGGGCGGAGGTACAAGTTTCATGTACCTGAGGCAATTGTGGCGCATCGTATCGTGGGGTTGGGCTGCGATGATATCGCTTCCGATGAGGTATTGTCGGAGCGGGATTCCGTTAGTGAAGAGTGCGGGTCTTGAGTCACGACGTCATGATTTGCGTTGTGGTGTATCAGAAAAGAAGGGCGAAATTGTTGGCTGTTATTTCGTCGATGGACAGCTCAGGAAGTAAACATATACTTTCGGACTTCCTCGCTGCTCGTCCAATCTTCAGGGTAGCCAAGTCTAGATAGAAGCCTGGACACTATTGACTTTTCATTGCATGTAAGATGATGAGCCATTCTGACAGTTTTTGAGCCGTACTTCATGAAGCTTGAGATGACCGTATCGATATAACTGTCTTCTGATGTAAAATCTGCACGTTGTAGTGTTAGTAATATGAGTGACAGCAATTGCACTTGACGTTTGGTAGAGATCAATTCTGTTTGCGATGTTCTGTCACGGCATTTGTCGCATCGCACCAGAAGAATACTCGATTTTAAAATGGTTATTAAGATGTAATGTTCACATACCTAGAGGTGCTCATAGCCACATATTATGTAGTCAAAATCAACTCCTTGTTCCAGGAAGACATTCTTGATGTTCCAAAAGTCGAAGGGCAACGGTGCGCACTCTAACACATTTTCACATTCCACGTGGACCCATTTAGGTAGAGATCTTTCGTATCTGAAGGTAAGACATTAGAGAAGAGGCTGAGGTAGCCATCGTTGTACTCTTGGGATAACATGATAGGTAATATGTATAACGATAGCTCTTGCAGTCGGGGTGGAAGCACATCTCTCATTTGCGGGTACTGCCAACTTCCTTCGCCAGTGTACGTTGATTGAGGTTTCCCAAGGGGAGCCCAGAACGGCGTATAGAGTCTCTCTAGTTAGTGCGTACAGTTTGTGAAAACCGTCGATGCGCGTGAGGATCATGCCCTCATAGTCGTATTCACCCCTTTGATGGGTTTCAAGATATAGAGTACGCAGCGTGTCTTGCTGCTGCGCAAGACTAGACATGATCTGCTCTTAACTGGCCAATTTGCTTCGTCCTCGAATGGAATCTGACTAACCATCCAACTCAGACGAAGCGTTTGGAGCGTCGGCAGTAACAACAGATAGGCCAGGCTAGTATCGAAACTGAACTGCATTTCTATGTCGAGAGTTTGCAGATTTCAGTAGAATGAATGGTCCATGCTCTTAAGTGGCGTCTTCCGGGCAACTTGAATGATGGGGATAAGCCACATCGGAAGTTCGCAACGCTAATCAATACTCGGAATACCGTAGAAATTGTGATGGCCATCCATAATGAAGGTCTGTAGATCGGGTGAACTCGCAACAAGGAAGGCAAGCTCCAACTGAGCAGGGTCCTCATGAAGCGCTGTCTTCACGTCAACGGGGCAGTAACCCCACGTATTTAATTCTTGCTCAAGCTTCTCTCGTGGCCGCCATGGATAATCGTCCCTTGGTCTTGGAAATGAATAAGCATCTCTAAGTATTCAATGCGTGGCCTTTCGTCGGATACTATGACCTTCTGTAAAAGCTGCAACAGGCTATGAAATTTCCACAGACACTTTGTGTTAAGAACTTCTCTCGCGATGGGTCGCAGGCTGCGACATGTGCGTTCGAGAGCGTTGAGTGTTGAAAAAGCCTCAGAATAGTTGTAGTAGCAGCGTTCAGTAGATTCCAGTCTAATTTGCGGTTGCTGTGCGTCGAAGAAACAATCAAAAACGAGGAGAAGGATTTCAGCGGGTAGCACAAGCAGCGGCGAGTGACTTTTTACGAGTTGATCAGGCATTTTGTGGTTTTATCTTCATTCGTTGTTGTAGACAGGAAATGTTACGTCACAACTGGCGGGCTTTGTCGTCCAGTAAGCGAGCACGTGGAGATCGGGGGGATCGCAACGCCTTCGCCTAAGCCGTTTGTGTCCAGAAGTTTGGGGGTAGATCCGTTACTTGCTTCACACACACCTCCCAAACAGAACTTTCGTTCGACCAACGTAAGGTTACACGATGGGTGGGCTTGTAGGTAGCGCGCACTGCAGCTACGAGGCCAAATAGACCTGGTACGTGTGAAATTGGTTAGCTTGGACTCGTACGTATCTACGCCAACTGTAACAACATCGAAATCAGCCATGTCTGTGCTTCATGATTGAAGAACATTCGGAGTCCAGTGAGCATTAGACAAAGAAATGTAGGCCTGGTTGCATTTACACCCCGCTCGGTTGTAGCGTATTGTGTTGTCAAACGCCTATTTTTAATTGTTATGACTGGCGTGTAACCGCTTAAAGCAATTGTATGCCCTCATCGAATCTTCTTATCCGGCCCTGCAGTCCCCCTTAACTTGTTCAGATTGAACGTTGCGGTGAAGTAGTAATCGAGCACCGAAGTCGGGAGATATGTCCACGCGAACCATACAATCCAGCTCATCTTACCCTCCCATATCCATCTCGTTTTAGAGAAGATGCCATCGCCAGCGAGCACTTGCTTTACACAGCTGCTTGCATACTGCTTCGTGTCCATACCCAACTCCTGACTATGTACCAGTCTTCGCTCATATTCGGCAGCAAGCGGTTGCATGTAGGAGCCCGGTGGCAGAGTGCGGTGTGTTCGTGCGATATTCGATTTGACGCCCCCAGTCACGACGTTGATAACGCGCACGCCGAGAGGAGCGAGCTCGACACGTAATGTATCCGAGTAGGCGTGCAGTGCTGCTTTGGCAGCATTGTATGGCGCACCCCAAACATAGGGCATGATACCGGCTAATGATCCCGTCTGTACGATAGTGCCCTTTGCTTCCACCACGAGTGGGGCAAACGTTCTGCACATCTCCATTACTGAGAAGACGTTTACCTGGAAGAGTTCCTGAAGCTCATCCTCGTCGTAGTCCAGCGCTGGGATAACGTAGTTACGTCCGGCATTGTTGTACAATACATCAAGCTTGCCTCCAGTAATCTCGGTGACGCGTCTGTGTAATTCGCGTATTGATTCCTTGTGCGGGAGTTCGAGGGGCAGATAGGTGATCTTGGGGTGCGGAGAGGTGTACTTGGACGGATCGCGGACGGTCCCTAGAACTTGGAAACCTACAAATAACTTAGCAGCCGCAAAGAGTCGAGGCGAACACTATCCTCACCTCTTTCAGCGAATTCTAACGCGAGATAGTGACCAATGCCGCCGGGCGTGCACCTGTTCGCGTCGGTTAGAGCTAAGAAGATTCTAAGCCTCCTACCGCCGCGCCAGACAGCAACACTCACCCTGTGATCAACGCAAACTGTGTTCGCTTTCCTTCAGCCATTGCAAGTGTGTAAATGTATCAGCGTGTCGATCGTTGCAGGTTTCACAAGCTCACGATGCGCAATCTGATGATCCACGCCTCGGCTCTCTCTGCTGCTAGCGCGTCGACGTCACACAGGTCCCTGCTCGTGTCAACCCACCAACGGAATTGACTGCTAGATCCTGCATGACTAACAAATGTTCCCGAGCGTTCCATTCGAGCCTAATTGAGCATGTTCCTTCTTGGATTCTCTTTCTTCTTTCCTTTCCTCTATTTCCGTCATTAAATCTCTTTCGTCATTCCGACTTGCCGATCCACTCCTGAAGCATCCTATAACCAATACGTGAGATACACACAGAAGAGCATCATGACATCGGCGGAATGGCTGGGCGAACGCATCCCGACGCTTCTTCGCCCGACGATACTACTTTGCATTGCAGCATATAGTAAGTTGTGCCAAAAACGCTTCTCGGAGGGGTTATACTCATTCATACTCAGATTTCTTCATGGCAGCATTTGAAGTTGTATTCTACGACTGGCGCCCTTTCACCCTTTTCAATCTCACCAAACTCCGTTTCAAGGGCTTCGCCCGTCTCTGGAAAAACAATGGCCAAGCAATGTCTGCCGAGATGCCAGGCCCTACATTCTCTCTTTTAGGCCAATGCAAAGGTGTGGTCCTCGATATAGGTCCTGGATCTGGAGAAGTGCTTTCGCGATTCAACCCGGATCTCATCACTGCTATTTACGGGGCGGAGCCAGCTGAGGACTTGCATCCAGGACTAGTAAAGAACGCAGAGAAGAGGGGCTTCGGCAGCAAGTTTCATGCTATGCTCTGTGGTGCGGAGCCTGAGAGTCTAATCCCAGCATTGCATAAGAGCGGGATTCTGGATGTCAGTGGCAAAGGTGGATTGGCGTCAGATGGTGTGTTTGATGAGATTTGCTGCACTCGCGTGCTTTGCGGTGTTCCACATCCCGAGCAAACCATAAAGGGACTCTAC